AGAGGTTTTATCAGGTCCACCATCTACACAAGCAGCAGATATCTATTTACTAACCATTTAAAATTTTATGTAACGTGTTATCGTTAGCATAGCGGGGCTTTTATTGTGATTGGCTGATTTTTGAAGATCATCCTATCATAATAAGGGTAGCTGCGCAGCGCGTGACGCAGCGCAGAACCAGTACGATCTCATTCGTGCGTTGTAGTCTAGAGAGTTATTTGTATAATAATATTAGTTAAATTACTGTTTATTAAACAGCCGATTAAAGAATAATTCATAGCTATACTTAATCTCAAGCATCACTGTAATAAGCTTCAAAAGACCTTGAAACTCGGACCAAATCTTGGACCAAATCTCTCCACGCTTCTTTTTGTCTACCAATTCAAGATTCTAAAGGTCTTTGGATTGAAGTTTGTTAGTTTTAGCATATGATCAATTAGTGCCATTTTTTTACAGTACATTAGGCAATGCAAAGTTGATTTTTTGGTTTGCATTATCCACTGATCTATTTTTTCAATTTTTCAAAATAATTTTTTTTTAAGTTTTAATTGCACCAATTATTCTATTTTTGCCATATAAGAAACATATATTAGACCAGCACAGGTTGGTTTCAAATAGGCACTGGTCAATATCTGGATTTGTATAGGTACTGAATTGGTACAGACTCAATAGTATATACCATCACAATAACTAATTGTTACAGAAAATTTTGATAAATTTTCCTTACCTTGAAATTTTTGTTATATAGTTCTTTATTTTTCTATGAAAAATAGGTAATTACATAGTCACAATAGTAATAGCACAAGTACGGGTTTGAAACCTGGAGTCATGGTTAGAAACCAGGAATCCATGTTTAAAACCCTTATGCATCAAAATACATAAATAGGATGCTTGTCTGTAAATAAAGTAAATCTTTCTCACTCTGCTCAAGTAATAAATAAGTGATTTGCTAGCTCTGTTCTTGCTTAATAAGTGGCACATAGTAACCAATATGAACCTATACATAACTTGTGGTGATCTTACCTGGACCTCTAAGCAATCTAACCACAGCCCATAATGATCTAACTTGGACTCTAAGCCCTAAACGTAGCCCGTGATAACTTCTTATAAATATAGTTTAACTAAAGTAATAATACCATCTAAGTATAGTCCTATACAATCCTTATAACACATATTCTATTTGACAACTATTACTATATATTAACCTGTTGTTAATGATGTATTAGTTGTGTTCTGGATGGATAATGGACCCATGAATATATTAACAACCATATATGAAATTTCAAGCAAAAAATGTCAAATAGAAAGAGAAAGGTGACAACTACAAACAACTAGTACTAATATTAACAAAGTATGTAGCGTGTTTGGTGATGAAAATAAAAAAATTCTCCCTATATTGGTTGTAATTGATGATTATAACTATTATATGAATAGTGTAGATATAGCTGACCAATTAAAGAGATATTATGATATGCAAGTACCTGTATATTACACTTAGATGGCATTATTTTTTTGGCTTCTTGACACTAGTATTGTTAATACCTTCCTTATTTTAAAAGCTCTTAACTTGGTCACAAAACACAAAGATTTAAGAATAAATTTAGCATGGAGTTTAGTTGAAGAATTGTTGGAAATAAACAAAAATTATACACATGAAAAAATAAAGCAAAAATTCAATCAGAATTATATAATCTAATTTTGGAAAAAAAGTCTATCTATGTTACAAAAAAATTTGACTTATTAATTGTATAATTACAACTACAAGCCATTATTCAGAATGGTGTGAAGAGAGAAGTTCTTGTATTTGGTGCCAGTTTTAATACATATCTGAGCATAAAAACATGACAAGAATTGACCACAAAGTTATATGTAGTATACAGTGTGTAACATTTCTTTATATATTAATAAGCAATATCCAAATTACTTTATTAAGTATCATGAATATAAATAAATTAAATAAATAATATTTTCATACTTATTTATGACATATTATATTATTTATGTTATTATTTTTTATATATTTGTAGTATACATGATTATTAGAAAATTTCAGGACAGATCTGCTCTAAATTTTAAATTGTTTAAGAGATACTACACTATACTAGGATATTCTATAGAATAGGTGGGCAATATAAGAAATAAGTAATCATTAATTTTTTAATAGCAGAGTTGCAGAGTTTGCAGTATTTGCCCACCTATTCTATAGAACATCTCTACTGATAACCATATAA